CATTAAGCTCAAAGGAAGAAAAAGTTAACTCCATCTGTTTATTCATAGTCAGGTTGTAGAGGCAACAGGTCCAGGAGAGAAATCCAGACATCCCTCTCACCAGTGACACATTCCAGCTTGTTCAGGGGAACCCCAAGGTGTTCCCAGGCCAGAGAAGATACACAATCCCTCCAATGACTTCTGGGTCTTCTATGGTGCCTCCTACCAGTGGGACGTGCCTGGAAAACCTCTAAAGGGAGGTGTCCAGCCGGCATCCTAATCAGATGCCAGTATTACCTTATTATTACCAGTAATGCTCAGAGGACCTGACTGAGAATTATTGGATTTGGTACCTGGATGATTGAGCATGAACTTTGTTGCCTTGAACCACTTTGGCTGTGGCTGCCTGCCTGGGAGGAGTCAGCGGGGGACAGGAGAAACCGTCTTATCTCCAGCAAACTGGTTGGCCCACTTAAGGAGTGTACTCTTTGTTGGGGAAAGTTTACTTGGGACTCCTCAGACTGATGAAGCCCTCTGGATAGAGGGCGAAACGTTTCCACAAACAAGAACTGTCCGGATGACCTGACTGAGCATTATTGGATAGAGTCTCTGATGAGCTTTCTTGATCAAGCTGGTAGTGTTGTTGCCCCAGCTGAGGTTGTCATTCAGGTGCACACCCAAGTACTTGTAGCTGGAAACCACTTCCACCGCAGATCCTCCTATGTTCGTGTGGGAGGATGTTTGTTCCGTCTAAAATCCACGACCATCTCCTTCGTCTTCTTCACATTGATGTGAAGTTTGTTCTTCCTGCACCAGTTCTCCAGGTGTTCCACCTCCTGCCTGTAGCTGGACTCATCATTGTTTGTGATGCATCCAACCTCTGCTGTATCGTTTGCAAACTTTACAATATGACAGCTGGGATGGGTAGGTGCACAGTCATATGTGAGCAGAGTGAGTAAGAGTTAATAAGAGTAAGAGTTAATAAGTCAGATGAAAGGCTCAGAGTGTAACATTTTGTATGAACCAGTTTGTCCCCAAGTTGGTGAACTTTGGGTTAACAAGTGTCGTCTCTCAGTCTCGGGTGAGATATGATATATCCGGAGAATTAAATAAGACACATGCAAAAATAAGAAAACATCCTGATAAATTTACATCTGACCTCTAAGATGATACTAGGCAGGAGAGGGTTTTTTTCAGTGTCATTTGACTGATAAACTAAAAACTGAAGCGTCACCATAATCAGTCAAAAGCTAACACACACACACAAGACTTTAAAATTTATTTTTGATTTCCTCGAGGTTAGAGGCAGTTTGTCGTCCTCTGTTTTTCACTATCTGACATCGACACGCTTTCTGCTCAGATGCGGTCCCACCTGGTCAATCTTTCACCTTTTTGTTTTTTGAGCTCACTGAACTGTAAAGTCAAATGCTTATTGAAACCTTCACAATATTTTGTTTTGCTCACACTGAAAACAAATTAAGACCAGTTTAGCTGAAGGAATGCATATTGCACGTCACATTTTATGAAAGAGTTTTGGGCAAAGATCATTTGATATTGAAAAATGATGTCACGTTTTTGGCCGAACCTTGAAAACAATGTTATGTGCAGTCTTATTGTAAGATGCCATGCTCAGAGTATGTGTTACTACCAAGATTTTGCACAATTCATGTAAAACTGACTAAATTAGGGCCAACTATGTGTTTTTTAAGGTCAGTTGGTTGTGGCAGCCATCTTGATTTGTATGACTTCAGTGAGTTAATCATAGAGGTATAACAATTATTTCCTGGAATTTTCATCCAAATTAGTCCAGTAGTTTATGAGATATTTTTCCAACAGACGGATAAACAGCAATGCATCCATGCACCGCACCTAATTTTAGGTCAGTACCTCTCAAACGTCACATTATAGCCATTTTTATGTTATTGAGAGGCTGTGGCAGCCATTTTATCATGGCTGCAAAAGGTAATGAGTTACAGAAGTACATACTTTCTACAGGTAAATACATTAATATCTTACTTCTCCTTTCAGTGGCAGAGAATAAAATAACTTGTTCCACCATAATAAATGTGCACTAATTTGCACCACAGCAGTGTGTTCTCTGCCCCATCAAAACAAAGAAGTGTTCAAAGCCTCCTCTCCATTTCCAATTGAAACCATAGACTGTCACCAAATCTGCTCTCAGTGGCCTTCTCCAAGACAAACCACTGTTAAATAATGACAATAAACTTTCCCATCCTGTCATTGTGAAAATGTGACTCATTAAAAATAAAAGAAGAAACTGCAGCCAGGGAAATTTACATTCAGGTTGTAAAATCCTTATCTGAGCTCTTTTCTATAGAGTCAGCAGAGAGCTAACATATCCAGCTGCACACTAAAAGCTATTTATAGTACTTATTTACCTGAAGGGACTAAAATAAGTTTGCTGATTTGATATCAGTGAACTAAACAGGCTCATTCATCGCAAAATATCAAGTTTTATACAAATGTAACTACAGAAAACAATTTAGAGGACTTTTCATCAAGTCATGACACCATCAGTGTTGATTAAATTAACTGATTCATGTAAAAGCCTGTGCATATCTCCTATTTACTAAGTTTTAAAAAGTTGCAGCCTGCACAGGAGTACAGTTTGTTGTTGGTTCACCTGTGGTGCTGGCTCCGTTGCTCTCCTCGGGCTTGGTGCTGGGTCGGGTCGTGTCTACAGCTGAGGTCTGAGAGCTGGAGGCGCATCCCATCCTGCCCTGTGCGCACAGAGGACTGCAGGAGTTCACGGTGGCGCACAGGCTGGAGGCTCACTGTGACGCTGCGCAATGGATCGTCGGTAAATGGAGAAAGAGAAGAGAGAGAGAGAGAAAGAGAGAGAGAGAAAGAGAGAGAGAGAGAGA